CCCCCCCTGCACCCCACAGCACCCTCTCAGGACGGCACTCAGCACCCCCCGCACCCTGCCCAGCACCCCCCGGGCAGGACCCCACACCCAGCAGAGGATTTGGGGGGACCCAGACCCCAGAGAAGCTCCCGGGGGGTGCCCCCGCAGTGGGGTCTGCAATGGGGCGCAGGGAACCCTCCCCGCGATGCTTTGGGGAGCTGCAGGTGAGGGATGGGGTGACCGAGCTGCTCCAGGGGCGCAGTTAGGGAGCAGCAGCAGCAGCAGGGTCCCCCAAATCTGCCAACATCCCTGAGTGCCACCACAACCCCCCAGGGCTGGCACTGTCCCCCTTGGGGGACATCCGGACCCGTTTTTCTGGGGGGAAAAGCCCCTCACAACGGCCCCACTGATTTAGGGACAATCTTTGGGTGTCACCGGGCTGTGGGCTCGTGGGAGGGGTGGGACAGCTGGCGGCCTCCCAGGTGCCTGAGTGCTTAATTAGAGCCGTGGCTTAATTGGCAGACGCGTGACGGGCACCGTGTGACTTGAATAGTGATGGGCTGGGGGGTGCACGGGGAGCCCAGGGGTGACCACGGGGAACAGAACACCCCAAAAATCTTTTCCCAGCGGTGGGAAAGGAGAGGGGAACAAGCACAGAGTGGCTGTCCCATGGACCCCAGAGGCACCTGAGGCCTCAGAGGGGACCTCAGCACGGTGGTGACATCCCAGGGGCGTGGCAGAGGTCATGGGGCTGGAAAAGAGCAATGTTCCTCCTTTATTTGGGAAGGGGGAAAGGAAAAAGCCGAGGAATTGTGGTGTTAGCTGTGTTCAGCCTCTGGAAAAATACCAGGACACATCCAAAACCCTCCAGTGGGAGTCTGGGAGGCAGCAGGATGACAGGGACCGGCCTTGTCACATCTGCCAGGAGCCACTGGGGCAAAACACGGCCTGTCCCATGGTCTGGGGCTCAGGATGGGGTCCAGCCAGGCAGGGAATCCTTGGTTTTGTGTGTTATTCCCTAAATCTCACTGCTGGGGGACTTGGAATTCCCTGTGCAGAGATGGGGAAGCGCTGCTGCTGCTGCTGCTGGCACATCCTGCTGGGACCTCCCTGGAGATGTCCTGGCATCACCAGGATCAGAACTTGGGGCTTGTGATGCTGCTCCAGGTGTGCAGACCACGGAGGAAGCACCAGCAGGAGCCTGAGCCTGGCAGAGTCTCCTGCCCAGCCTCGTGTTCCAGAAAAGGAAAGCCCAAGGGAAGCAGCAGCCCAGCCTGGAGCCACCCCCTTGCAGGGAAGTGCCCAAATCCTGCTCCTTCCAGAGCATCCATCCCTGCATGGCAGTGCCCAAATCCTGCTCCTTCCAGAGCATCCATCCCTGCAGGGCAGTGCCAAAATCCTGCTCCTTCCACAGCATCCATCCCTGCAGGGCAGTGCCCAAATCCCTGCAGGGCAGTGCCCAAATCCTGCTCCTTCCACAGCATCCATCCCTGCAGGGCAGTGCCCAAATCCTGCTCCTTCCACAGCATCCATCCCCTCATGGCAGTGCCCAAACCCTGCTCCCTCCAGCCCAGCCATGTGTGTCTGGATTTGGGGGTCCCCAAGCTCAGTGCAGGCAGCTCCAGGGAGGGGCTGAACCCCCCTGTCCATCCCGGGGCTCCTGCTCCTCCCCTGCACCTTCTCCAGCGCTGAAATGATGAAATTTTAATCTGCTGCCAGGCAGGAGATGAAAGGGAGGCACCAGAGGCGTTGCCCTGGCAGGCAGCAGGGACCGTGGCACGGGCACCGTGCTGGGAATTGTCACCACCCAGCTGGGGAAGGACAGGTGGAGTGGCACGGCTTGGGCAGTCCCCTGGCTCTGGCAGAGGCTTTTTGGCTCTCCCTGGAGCACCTCTCACTTGTCCAGGAAGAATCTTTGGGGATTCCTCGGCTGGGGGGGGTCTCTCAGGGTGCCCCCCAAGGAGCACGGGCAGAGGGAGGGTGGCAAGGGGATGGTGGCAGGGGCTGCCAGAGCCCCCCACACCTGATTCACCCCCCTCTCCATGCAGCTGCATGGATGAGCAGAGAAAAACCACCAGGCCATAAACCAAAGCGTAGAGACCGGGACTGCCGTAAATGTGGGGACCCCGCTGGTGCTCCCCAGCACACCTGGGACAGACAGACAGCGAGGGACACACAGCCAGCACCTCCCACGCCAGCACGGCCGGCCGGGGCTGTCCCGGGCTGCTGGGAGCTGCCGGCCGTGCCCGGCTCCTCACGGGGCCAGGACACCCCGGGGCCGGTGGGGAGCACCGAGGGGTCCCAGCGGGGCCCCCCTGCAGTGCCGCACGGTTTGGCAGCTGAGCTGGGACTGGGATTCTGCTCCCATCACCAGCGAGCATCAATCAGAGGGGGCCGGTTAATTAACCTGGAGGCGCGGCTAATTCCAGAGGTTCCCGCTATCCTCTTCCCTCGCGTTTCAGCTGCCGCTGACCCGCAGGGCCCGTGTGACACCCCGGCGGTGACACGGCCCCGCTGCCGCGCCCCGGGGCTGCTCCCGGTCGGGATGGAACCCCCCGATGTCCGAGCACCCCCGGGACGGGGCGGGCCGGGGAAACTGAGGCAGCGAGCGGGGCCGTGCCGGGCGGGGGGCCCGAGCCGCCCCCGTCCCGCCGCCCCTGGGGCCGGGGGAGGGACCGGAGCGGGGCTGCCCGGCGCTGCAGCGGGCGGAGCCGGGGCTCGGCGGGGCCGCCTCCCGGTCGAGCCCAGCCGTACCGTACCGTGCCGTGCCGTACCGAACCGAGCCGAGGCGAGCCGGGCGCTGCCGGGCGCAGCGGAGCCCCGCCGAGCCGCGCCGCACCGGGCGGCACCGGGCGGCACCGGGCGGCACCGGGCGGTACCGGCGGCACCGGGCGGCACCGGGCGGCACCGGGCGGTACCGGCGGCCCCGGCGCTCTCCGCGGTGCTGAACGGCTCCGCCGCGCCCGCAGGACGCGCCGCCGGCGGGGCCCGGCCCGGCCCGGCCCGGAGCGGCTCGGCCCGGCCCCGAGCGGCCGCGGGGGATGGAGCCTTTCCTCGGCTGCACCGGCGCCGCGCTCCTGCTCTGCTTCAGCTACGCCGGTCTGCGCCCGGTGGAGGCAGGTACGGGCGGCCGGGCCCCGGGAGCGGCTGCCGGGATGTGGGGAGGGGGCTCGGTGCCGGGAGAGACCCCCGGGGGGCAGCGGCGGGAGCGGGCGGGGCTGCGCCCAGGGGCCGGAGTTTGGGGGCGCAGGGACTTTGCCGGGATTTGGGTGCGGAAGAAGCGATTCGGGACACGCAGCCCCGCGGCACCGGGCGCGGGCGGCACCGGGCGATCGCAGCCCGGCATCCCCGGCGAGGGAGAGGTGGAAACGGGGAGAGGGAGCGGAGCCCCCTCGCCCTGCAGGGGCACGGTTTGGGCACCGGAGCAGCGGCCCCGGTTCGTGTCACGGGGCTGGACCGGAGTGGAGGAGGTAAAACCGGGTCTGCTCTGCCGGTGCCCCTTCCCGGCTGTGCAGGGCCCAGCCGGGCTCTGCTGGGAGCCCCGGTGGCCCCAGAGGAACCCCGGTGGTCCCAGAGGAACCTCGGTGGTCCCAGAGGAACCCTGGTGGCCCCAGAGGGACCCTGGTGGTCTCAGAGGGACCCTGGTGGTCTCAGAGGAACCCTGGTGGTCTCAGAGGAACCCTGGTAGCCCCAGAGGAACCCCAGTGGTCCCAGAGGAACCCCAGTGGTCCCAGAGGAACCTCGGTGGTCCCAGAGGAACCACCTCTCCAGGGGCACTGCACATCCTGGCCACCAAAGCCAGGCCCCTCCGAGCTGAGCAGCTCACCCAGATCTTTGGTCGAGGCAGTGATCCCTTGAGCTGGACCTAATTTTGGAGTTACCAGGATGGACCCAAACCCACTCTTGGCTTCATTAGCCCCTGTGTGTAAAGTGGGCAGTGCTGGTGGGGCTCCCCAGCCCGAACCAGCCAAGGGCTGTCTCTTCACTGGCTGCAAGATGTTGGTGGAACAGCTGCTTTGATTTGCAGACTGCTGCTTGCCAGGATACCTCTCATTCCAGGAGGCTGGGGGTGATTTTTAGGGATGCAGAGCTCCAGGGAGTGGAAATTCCTTCGCTCCAGCCATCCCTGGAAGTTGCTGGAGTTCCATTTGGGCTGCAGGAAGCCCCGGATGCCTTCAGCTCTGCCACCCGTCCTTGGCCAGGCCTTGGCTTCTGAAAGTTGCTGTTTCACAAGTGCCAGATCCGGGGAGATTAATGAAACATTCCCAAAGGGAGGGAGCGACGAGGAAAACACCATGGAGGCGTCTGCAATTGTGACAGAGCTCGGGCTTTTCTGTCAACTGGGCCACTTCCCTGCTCTTCCTTATCCTTGGATCACCTCGGTTGGCATCTGAGAGTGAGCAGGGAGTTGTGTCCCTGCCCAGAACCACCTCCTGCTCCTGGAGGTGTCCGTGCCACGTCCCCGGGAGCTCACGGTGAGCTGTGTGACTTTGCCGTGGTGCCACCTACCCCACACCGCCTCCTCCTCCTGTGCCACCCGTGCCAAGGGTCCTGAGGAGCTCTCCCTGCACCCAGGTGAGGCAGAGAACTTGTGCTGTCCCTGTTTCCCAGAGCAGGAGCAGAGGGATGAGGGCACCGAGTGATTTTCCCCAAGGTCACACAGAGGCAGCGGCAGCGTCACCAGCAGCTCCGTGTCCCCAGCCCTGCTGATGGTGTGGCCACAAGGCCACCAAGGCACGCAAGCCAGGAGTCCCCCCACAGGGAGGAAATCATTCCCAGGCAGGGATGGAGGCTCCAGGGTCTGTCCCCTTTGGACCCAGAGCTTGTGTGAATGGCTTTAAAATAATCCCTGTCATGAGAGATTAAAGATGTCATTCCCAGGAGGGACTGGTGCAAATTGCCCCCTGGCAATGCCAAGGCAAGGGCTGGTGAGTGGCACCGAGCACAGGCCCCGCTCTGAATTCAGGGATTTTGGCCAGGCAAGGCCATTTTTTGCCAAGGTGATGCCAAGGTGAGTGAGGAGGGGAAGCAGGAGCAGGATGACGAGGTGGTTGAGAAATAATCTTCACGCTAATGCTCTTTGGTGACCCCAAATCCCACCTGGGTGGGTGATGCCCTCCCATGGCTCCAGAAGGTCCCTGAGGAAACACTCAGGATGCCTGGCAAGTCAGGAATAGGATTGAATTTTGCCCTTGCTTTGCCAGCATCCCCTCGTTAGGCTGAGCTAATGAGGAGAGGGGAGCTGGGCTGGGCTCGGGGCACTGCTGAGGGCTCAAAGAGCAGTGGGGTGATGATGGAAGACCCCAAAATAGGCCACAGCCCCTGTGACTTGCAAAACAGCCTCACTGCGAGGTGCCAGCCCGTGGAGCAGCTCAGGTCAGGTTTATTTTTGTGAGATGGAGAGCAGAGGTGACACACAGCTCAGGTAAAACCTCCCCTGCCAGCACAGCTCTGGGCCAGCCCTCGGATCCAGGACAGGCTCCACTTTGAGGAGCCCCTCCTCAGCTGCCCAAAAAAGTGCCAAACCCCCGTGGGTGGATCCTGAAGCGTGTCCTCACCCCCTGAGCTGCTGCAAACCAGCCTCACCCCCTCCCTAGGCAGCCCCCCAGCCTGGTGGGGGGAAGGAGAGCAAAGCAAAGGTGCCAATCTGCCTGCAGGTGCTGATCCCAGCTGGACGTGCTCCCCCGAGCCCGGGGAGCTGGGCTCACCCGTGGATCAGGCTGAGCAACAAGCTCAGCACGCCCAAGAGAGCAGCAAAAGGTGTCTCAGCAATTTGGGAACAACAAACCCAGCCATTGCAGCCCTTTCCCTCCATCCCAGAGGCCGGGGAGATTCCTGGCTGGCTGTCGGTGGCGTAAGCACTTTATTGATTTCTGCCTTCAGCGTGGGAGGGATTTAATTGGGATGAGGAGGTTTCTCACCCCAGTGTCAGCTTCTCAGCAGGGATGATGCTGTGAGAGGCAGCCAAGGTTGAGCCACGCTCTTCCAAATGCTATCTCCTGCTGGGAATCTGTTTGTGGGAAAGGGAGATTCCTCCCAGAGAGATGTGCTTGCAGTTATTAGCCACGCGCTCCGTGGCAGTGCCATCCACGTGCTGCTCCTGGATCCATCCTCACCCTTTGGATGTTCATTGCTAAAACAAATTCTCGCTGGTTTATGAAGTGCCCAAGGGCTGAATTAGGGCCTGGATCGAGTATAATTCACTTAAAAGCAGAAATGTATTGAGCAATGAAGCTGCAAACCTTTACGTGTGCAGTAAAAAGTGGGATACGGGAGCAGAGCTGGGCTGGGAACAGGCAGCAAAATCCTGGGAGAGGTCTGGTGTCAGCAGCCAGAAATTCCCAGGCTTCCTCACTCCCTCTGATTGCTCTGATACTACACAGGTGTGGGATAAGAGGAGCTAGAAAAGCCTGTGGTACCCAGTTCTCCATGGATATTTAGATCCTGGATTAAACATTCCATGATGGGAATGACTTTGCTCCAAGTTGGCAACATTTAAACCCAAACTGTGGCACTGGGGAGACCTGAGAGAATCCTGCCTGTCTCTGGGACTCTCCAGGGCAGAAATATTCCTTCCTTCTGCCCCAAGGAATTCCCAGTGGCTGGCTGGCCACAGTCTCTGTGCTCCCTGAAAAGGCTCCACACTCCTGGCAGCATTTCCAGCACGTTTGGGCAGCTGCTCCCTGGGGAATCAGCCACAGAACCAAGGGGTGGGCAGGAGGGGGCTGGTGGCCTATTAATATCCCATTTTTACAGGGAAATGAGCGGCCAGCAGGGAATAATTGCCTCTTTCCCAGCTGAAGAACCACCAGTTGGCCTCTCTGCTCTTTGAAATCTCAGGATCTCAGCAAACAGCTCTGCTTCCCGTGGGGCTGGGAGCGGGAATGATCCCTGCTCCCACACATTCCCCCGGGGCTCCCTTCATTAAAACCCTCGGGAATGCTGAGCCATGTGCCAGCCCTTCCTACACACCCCATAAAACCCACAAGCAATTACATCCACGGGTGGGATCCATGCTGGGAGAGCTCAGAGAAGCAGCAAAAGCAGCTCTGGGTGAATCCACACGCAGGGAAAGGACAGAAAACATTTTAGGGATGCTCCTTTCATTGTGGAGGTCGTGTCCTTTCATCTCCTGCGAGCCCGGGGAAGGTTGTGGTGCAGGAATCAAGAGATGCTGGGAATGAAGGCTGGGATTCACTGCTTCCTGCAGGAAGGGGCAGCAGGAAAGCAGGGAATCACTGCTTCAGAGCCTCAGCTCACCAGCCCATGTCCCTGGGGCTCTGAGGCAGCTCCCCAGCAGGAAGGAGCTGCTTGGGAGAGGAGCTGAGTGGATTGGGAAACGCTGGGAACACAGCACAGGCTCAGGAAAGATGGAATTCCAAGCAACTCCACGGGAAAGGTGGATTCAGGGGGTTTTGGGGACCCCTTGGCTGGAGAGATAAATCCAGAAATGCACTTTAATTGCAGACCTGTGGCCTGGACTTGGCTGGCCTGAGGTGACCCCGAGGGTGTGATATTCCCACAGGTTCCTCCTTTCCTTCAGCGATGCCTTTGTGACCTGGGTACCTCCCTGATCCTACCAGGGTTTGGACACCCCAATATCCAACCACCTCCCCATTCCCAGGTGACAGCAGCAGTGGGATGGAACAAATAAACCTTTTCCCTGCTCTTTTTCCCATCCCTGCCACAGCTCCCACAGGGAATCCAACTCACAGGGAAGCAGGGGGGCTCCTCTTCCTCGTGCCCATAACGAGCCAGGGACGAGCTGTAAAAATCCGTGCGGGGTTCCTCTCTCTCCAATTAAAGTCCAACCATAACGAGGAAAACATTTAATGGAAGGCTGGGAGGGGTTCTCAGCATGGGGAAGGGATGAAGGATCATCTCCAGGATTTCTTGGTGAACAGCGGGGGCTCCGACCTGCTCCTGCCAAAAGGGCCCCAGGCACGGCGGAAGCGGGGAGGGCTGGGACACACGGACCTGGGGGATGGGAGATTTCGGATTCTGTGGGAAGGAAACCAGATGGGATTTTAGAAAGCCTCAGTTCTTAAGCTGCTATTCATGTTTAAAAGTCCAGATTTCAAGCTGAAGTCATCAGGGTTTCCCTTAATGAAGGGTGGGGGTGATTTCTGCTGACATGAAGATGAGAATATTTTTCCGTCTAAATTTGGGCAAATTTCCTCTGCTAGTTTGCAGGGTGGGATTTGCTCCAGCATCCTGCACTGGAATAAAGTTAAAGTGCTAAACCAGAAATCCTGCACTGTTCCCTTATGGAGCAGACAAGGAATGTGCTGCCCTCAACAGCTCTGGAGTAAACAGGCACAAAAATAAAAACCTTGATCCACAACCTGCAGCATTCCCACCCTCTGTGCCCTCTCCCAGAACACCAGCAGCTTTCCTGGCTGCCACAGGCACAGAAGCAAAGTTTCCAGGAGTTGCACATGACTCTAGAAGGAAACAAAAATTTGGATTTGGCACCTCGAGGCCCTGCTCGAGCTGCCCACCCCCTGCAGCCAGCTGGGAAATGACAGGAATTGCACCTTTTCCACCTGATCTCAGCCAGGCTGGCACTAACAAAGAGCTGCGACAGGGCCAGGGAGCCAAAAGTCCTGTGGAATATCTTGGAACAGTGTTTTAGGTCTCAGGAAGTCACGATCTCATCATTTCATCTCTTAGGAACAGGGAGAAAAGCAAACTCATGGATTGAAAATTTTGGTTCCAAATTATTCCCAGAGCTCTGGGAGCAGGAAATTCGTTTTCCTGGGTTTGTATATCTGTCAAACACGGTTTAATTCTCTCTTTAGTGTTTTTATGCTGGTTTGACACCACTGATTTGGGTGTAGCAGTGCAAGGGAAGGCACACTGGGATCTGCTGTCCTGCATTCCTGGATTTTAGAGCTGCTGACTACCCCATCCCTCTGTCAGGTATTCCCACACACAAAGGTTCTAGAATGTTCCTTACCACCCACTCCAGGGGATTTCTCCCTCACCTCCATCCAGATTCCAGTTTTGGAGACTTCAAGCTCTGGGTTTCAGCTTTGCTGAGTGCTTCCCTCCTGCCTCACAGCTCTCCACCCTCTCCCACCACTTGCCAGAAGAGTTTTTTGCTCTCCTCCAGCTCTTCAAGGTCTTCCCAACTCCCCCACATCTTATGCCATCAGAAAACTCGGACACTTTTTATGCTGTGCCTCCCTCAAGGTCACAAATTTCAAAGGGGACCCGAACACTCCGAGTGCTGTTCCCTTTTCCCAACTTTTTCCCCCGTGATCTCTGCTCTCTGTTCCTGTGGGGTTAATTCATTTCTTTTCAAAGCCCTCCTCCAACTGGAGCTGGCTAAGTCAGTGGTAGCTCCTAAAAAAAAATATATATATAAAAATTGAGCTCCTAAAAATACCCAGGGAAGACAAGCAGGGCGGGATTGAGCCGGGAAGGGCGAAGTGCTTGGCTGCAGCTGGAGACTGTTTTGTCTCCCATCCCTCAACCCCGTCATGTCCTCCGTATGTTCCAGCAAATTCATCAGGCATGACTCACAGACCTTCCCGTGCACATTCCTGTCTGCTGACTGCCCCTTCCTAAAATTAGACTCGACTTTTGTTGCTTCAGTCACGGGGGAAGGTGAAGAGCTGCAGACCCACGTCCCTTCCTCGTGGAAGGGACTTTTATTCCGGGATGGGGAGGATGATCTGTCTCCTTCCTCGGCTGGTCCTGCTGCTGCAGGGAGGGTGAGGATGCTGAGGGATCCCATCCTCCAAGAGGATGGCTGGGGAATTCTGTCTCATTCCATGAGGGCCAGGCACTGGGAGGTGAGAATGCTCTGGATCAACACCGATTCCATTGTTACTCCAGAGAGGAATGACATCCCTCTGTGGAATCAGAGACTTGCTGCTCCTCCTAACGTGCTAAATTTGGGTGAATTCAGCCATTCAGTGACTTTTTTTCTTACTGAGAATCAGTCTGGCTCGAATGGCTTCTCCGGGCATTTTACTCCTAAGGCTCTACCTGCTGGCTGTGAAAGGAATGAGGGATCACTGTGCCAAGTGACCTTCAGCTGGGGAATTCTGTGCTCCTCTGTTCCCCGGGGAACATTCACCAGCAGTGATGTCAGACACTGACACCACAGCTTGAATATTTTCAGCTCCATCCAGGAGGCTGGGAATGGCCATAAATCCAACAAGTGTCACTGGAGATGGGCACAAGTGCACCCCTCTTGTACTGCTGACCTGTCCCAGCCCCAAAAGGATGGTTATAATGGAATAAATGTATTGATTTCTATAAAAGTCAGAATAAAATTACTCTTCCTCACCCTACTGACCTCCTGGGGCTACTCAGAGCATTCACTGCTTTGAGTTCAGAGCAAAGCTGAAGGTTGTGAATTAAATTTGACCAGAGGAGCAGGAACAGAGTCCAGCTGAAAGAGCAGGGCCAAGCCTAGGAGGCAAAAGCTTCCCTTGAGATGCCAGGAAGGGCTTTGGACTGGGCAGCTCCCTTGGGAAGAGGCTCCTGGGGAGGTTGTGCAGGAGCCCAGCTCTCTTTGGCAAGGCTGGGAGGATCCTGCTGGAAATTCAGCTGTGCTCTGGAACTGGGAAGAAACACAGAGCCTCAGGCTCCTGCTCTCCTGGCCTGCCCTCTCCACATTACAATATCCTGGCAGCTCCAAGTGGATTCTCACTGGATGTGCTCCTACATCAGGCACCAAACATTGTAAGGAACATTTTCTGCCAGAGAAAAAACAAAAGAAACTCTCCCAGTTATTCCGTTCCCGCGTTTCAAATGCTCATCGAAGCGTTTTTGGAGTGAACACGTCCATGGCAGAGCTGGAATTTCCTCCCAGCTGTCACTGTCAGGCTTTAACAGGGGAAAAATGTGGCTGGGGAGGATGGCATGAATGAGCTGCTCAGGGCTCGGCTGTGGTGTTCAGGAAATTCTTCTCAAGGGTCGGGTATTTCACACATGAAGTTGTGGAATGGTTTGGGTTGGAAGGGACAGGAAGATCAGCCAGTCCCTCTCCCTGTCATGGGCAGGGACACTTTGCACTGTCCCAGTGCTCCAACCTGGCCTTGGACACTTCCAGGGAAGGAGCAGCCACAGCTTCCCTGGGCAATTTCCACTACCCTCCCAAGGAAGGATTTTTTCCCTATATTTATCTTAAATTTCCCCTCTATCAGTTGGATGTAACTCATATTCTCAGGTGACATCTCCTAGCTGCACCCTGAGAACTGAGACCTGGAGTGCCTGCAATTTCCAGGTCACAAATCCAAAACAGAACCTGAGGAAGGTCCTTTCCCACTCCTTTCCTTGCCCCTTCTGTGCCTCCTGGCCCTGTAAAGGCTCTGCTCTCCCTCCTTGCAGACAGCCCATCGGCTCCAGTAAATGTCACAGTCAAACACCTGAAAGCCAACTCAGCCGTGGTCACTTGGGATGTCCTGGAAGACGAAGTTGTCATTGGATTTGCAATTTCCCAACAGGTACCGTGCCTAGAATTCCCCAGTTTCAGCCATGTCCATCTCCCCCCAGGTGCCCTTGGTTCCCAAATCCTCTCGCTGCAGTTTAAGCCCATTATTCCTTCTCGTCCTGTCCCTCGTGGTCCCGGAGGGGATTTGGCTCTCCCATCCCCTTTGCAGCAGCGCTTTGCGCCTCGGTGGCTGCAGAGGGAAGGATCCTGATGGTTCCTCCACATCCACGTGGTGGGCAGGGCAGGAATCGGTGGCCTTAGGTGACAGCAGATGCACAAGGGGAGGTCTCTCCACCACTCTGTGCTCTCCTCTCTCGGCTTCCAGAAGAAGGACGTGCGGATGCTGCGCTTCATCCAGGAGGTGAACACCACCACCCGCTCCTGTGCCCTCTGGGACCTAGAGGAGGACACTGAGTACATTGTGCATGTCCAGTCCATCAGCATCCAAGGCCAGAGCCCTGCCAGTGAGCCAGTCCTCTTCAAGACCCCCAGGGAAGCTGAGAAACTAGCCTCTAAAAATAAAGGCAAGTGTGGGTGAGTTCCTACGTGGCCCCTGGGACACGGGGCTCTGCAGAGAGGAACCAAGATCCTGTGTGGTGAGAGGAGCTGGGAGAAACCCTCTGGGATAAACAGGATAAACACTCATGGGGCTGAGCGTCCTCTCAGGATGTGCTGAGGGGACACGAGGTGCCAGGGAGGTGCTGCTGGAGGTGGCTGCCCCTTCTCCCTGCAGATGAGATTTAACAAAGTGAGGAGGAGGAGGAGGAGGTTTGCAGCTCTGTGTCCTGCTCCCAACACGTGGAGAATGCCAGAGGCAATTCCTGGCCAGCCTGTGAACTCATGTGGAACCAGCCCCCCTGGATGGCACCGGGAACACCACTGTGCTCACAGGGCACTTGTGGGATTCACGGCGCCTCCTGTGCTTGGGTCTCAGGGGAAAAAATACCCAGAGGCTCCCACTTTTCTTGCATTTTCGATATTTCTGCCAAATCACAGAGAGCTGAGCTTGGAAGGGATCTCACCCAGGCAGGGTCAAGTAGAGCAGGTCGTCCAGGATCACATCCAGCCGTGTTTTCATTACCTCCAGGGAGAAAATCAGGCATTTCCTCACTGGCAATTCCTTCACGTGCTCCTCTTTAGCCAAACCAGGCTCTTGAGGGTTTTCTGTCAGCAAGAATCCTGCTCCAAAGGGCGCCTGGCAGTGCAGGGCTGTGGGGACACCCACGTCCTCCCCTGCCTGCTGAGGGCCCAGCCTGTTCCAGGGCTTTTGGCTGTGGTTCTGAGCATGTGAGTCCTTGACTCTCTTTATTAAACTGCTCTGGAGGCTGTAAATCCTGAATTGCTGTTTATCTGGAAGCACTAAGAGGAGAACTGCTCCTTTCCTGGGGTCCTGAACTGTAATCTCCTGTATGCTTTGAAGCCAAGGAGGCGAATTACGCCCTGCAAAAAGGCTCTGCTCCTTTCTGAATCCCAGGGCTCTGCTGAAAAATATCCTGCCAGGCTCTCCACGCTCCTGAGCTGGAGCTGCTGGAGCTGCTGGAGCATGCCAGGCTTTGTGACGGGTGCAGATGGCACTAGCAGGGACAGGGCCAGCAGAGAGAGCAGCCATGGGGACAGGTAACACTGCCCTGTCCCACTGCTCCTCCTGAGCCCCGTCCCCTCAGGGTGCCACGGGATGAATCCTGGAATCCCAGACTGGTTTGGGTTGGAAGGGACATAAAATTCATCCTGTCCCACCCCCTGCCATGGGTAGGGACACTTCCAATATCCCAGATTGCTGCAAGCCCCATCCAAGCTGGCCTTGGGCACTTCCAGGGATGGAGCAGCCACAGCTTCTCTGGGAAATCCATTCCAGCCCCTCTCCACCCTCGCAGGGAAGAATTCCTTCCTAAATCCTAATCCAAGCACCCTAAGGAGTGTCAGGACTCTGTCCCTGACACACTGACTGGGGTTGGTGGCACTCCTAAACCAGGCTCTGAGCTGGGCTTTGGGTCTCACAGAATCTCTTTGCCCCTGTGCAGATGAGGTGACAATGAAGGAGATGGCGAAGAAAAACCAACAGCTGCGAGCGGGGGAAATTCTCATCATTGTTGTGGTGTTGTTCATGTGGGCAGGTCAGTCCCAGCTCTCTGTCAAAATATCCACTCAGGATATCCTTGGGAATGCCTGGCTGCACGTGGAACCATGGCAAAAAAAAACTCCCTCACAAAAATCATGGAGTTCTCAGCTGTAAGGGCTCCTCAAGTTGGGCTCTGCAGCTCGAGTTTGGTCCAGCAGGAAGCAGAAAATGGATTTGATGGAAGCAATTCCTGATGGCTGATCCTGTAATCTCATTTTTTTTCCAGACTGCCCTGATTATGATGCCCTCAGCCACAGAATCGTGGAATGGTTTGGGCTGAAAGGGATATAAAGATCATTTTGTTCCACCAAACCTTCCACCAGAGCAGGTTGCTCCAAGCCCTGTCCTGGAAAGTTTCCAGGGATCCAAATATCCAGTCCTTCAGATATTACAGGTTGCAGTAATTTTCTGGACATTATATGACTCCAATGCTCAGGCAAAACAGAATTTTAAGAGTCTTGATCTCCATACCCACTAATTTCTATCTATAGTTATTGTTATAATTGATATTTATATTTTATATTTATGTTTTACTTATATGTATACTTACATTTATATTTAAATTTTCCACAGAAATTTCCCCATCACAGAAAGGGATGGAGGAATCCAGGTGACACTGAATCAGATCCACGTACAATAATTTTTTTTTTTTTTTTTTCCCTTATTTGCATCTCCAGAGACTGGACAGCAATTATTCCTAAAGCCAACAATCACATCAAAACCATAACGAATTTAGAAGATTTCCAGAACCTCTAGGCCATTATTTTTTCAGCATTTATGCCATGTTTTAGTTGTGCACATCCCAGTTTCAATGCCCTGCCAGGGAAAATAATAATGAATAATTACATGGGATGAGTGAACAACTGATTCATCTCCTGCTGTAGAATAATCTGAGACTGGATCAGCTGGGAACAAAGAATTTGCTAATCCCACAATTTCCCTTCCAGACAAATTCCTTACATTTAAAAAGCAACAGGGGTGTGGGGAGAATCTCTCTGCATCAAATGGGTTCTCAGTACACAAAAACCTCCTTCCAGCTTTTAACCTATCCTGTATGGCAATATTTGGGAAAATCCAAGTGGAACCAGTCCATGCTCAGGGCTCTGGACTGAGCCAAGCCCCAGCTCTTGTGGTTCTGGAATTTTTCATGGCATTTTCTTTCTTTGTGTGCCAGTTTTACCCATGGAAATCACACAAGGAGTGGCTGTGGCAGATGTTTCTCCTGGCATCAGCCATTTACCTACATTCCCAAAGAAAGAATTTGGGCCACTGTGTTTATCAGTAAAGCCTGGGGGCAACTGCTACGTGTTTTATAGAGCAGTTCATGGCGTGATGCTGCAAGACTTAAATATATTTGGCTATTAAGGAAGATTTTTTTCAAGGAGGGAAAAGCAGCATCTGCCTGGATCCACTTCACCTACGTGTCTGGAATCCGCAGGCAGAGAGGTTATTTGGTGGAAACATCACATAAAAGCTTCCCAGACAGACATTTGCAGTCATCTTACGTGCCACGGCTGCCCCTGCTTCCCTCTCCACGTGCCTGGGGGTGTGGGGAAGGAAATTTCCACTCGCAGCTTGTGCTGGTGCCCATTTGCAGGTGCTGGCAGGTTCAGAACCTCTCCTCTGCCAGCTCCAGAGGACGGGGAGCAGAGGACAAGGAGCAGAGGACACATTTGCAGCGAGCAGAAATTCCAGGAGCTCCAGCACTCGCTGGACCGTGGGGTTGGCGTTGGTCGAGGTCCAAATGCAGGGTTTCAACCACTTCATAACAGGGAGGCTGAAACAGAATTAATCTTCTGTCGTCCTGTCTAACTGGTTTAGCATGGAATGAAGGGAAGGGAAGAGCCAGAGGCAGCCTGGCTGTGGTCTGGGAGGAACTGGGAATGCTGCCGAGGCTGGCCAGAGGGATCTGTGATGTCTGCAGGCTGCTGAGCTCCTGGGTGTGACGGTGATGCTCTCTCCCGGCAGGGGTGATCGCCCTGTTCTGCAGGCAGTACGATATCATCAAAGATAACGAGCCCAACAACAGCAAGGAAAAAGCCAAGAGCGCCTCGGAGAACAGCACACCCGAGCACCAGGGCGGGGGCCTCCTGCGGAGCAAGGTGAGTGCCCGATTTGTGCTAAATCAGCCCAAAAAAAGCCTCGTTAAAAATCCTTCCCCTCCCCACCCAGGGGAGATGCGGGAAGGGAACACCCTCCGCACCCACGGCTCTGCTGATGGGGACGGCAGCGCTTCACTCCCACCTCCAGGATGCTGCGGGGCCGCCAAAAAAAATCAGATTTCAAGCCACGTTTCTGGATGATCTGAGCATCTCTGGAGAAAAAAAAAAAAAAAAGAGTTCCTCGGGTCCTCCCACAGCAGCACGTGGCAAAGGGGACACTGCTCCTGTAATTAACTGGAGAGTTAATCAGCAGGAGCAAAGATGGTAACACACGTGATGTGGAAGTGTAAATAGGTCAAGCCTTCAATTTATCCCAACTTATTTCAATTGTTTTAACTTCCTTGTGTTTCTGCTCGCATTCCCACCATATTTATTCAGTATTTTAAATAGTTCATTGATTTATGATGGTTCAGAAGCAGCAATGAACCCCACAAGCCTAAAACCTCAACTTTGACCCTTTTTCATCATCACCAAGAGGTTGGGAAGGAGAATTTTCACAAAACACAACCTGCAGGCTGCACTGAGCTCTGATGAGATTTTTCCCTTCTTCACATCCGTTTTTCCTTTGTTTCCTCTCCTAGTTCCCAAAAAACAAGCCCTCAGTGAACATCATTGAAGCATGACACCTGAGAGATGGACTCCATCCCTCGCTCTCACTCTGAGCCGTGATGACTGAGGAGGTGAAACATTGTCGGAGCGATTTGCAAAACAAGACCTCGCTGGCATCCACCTCCTCATCCCTGTTCTGCAAAACATCTGGCCAGGAAGGGAAATCCTGCAAAAAAAAAATAAAAAAACCAAACCAAACCCTGACACCCAAACAAAGAAGATGGAGAAGAATCAGTGATGCTGGAGTGATCCACGAATCACCTGGGTTGGAGCAACATCTCCCACGCTCCTTTCCACGCTCACGCTCCATTTTCTAGGACGGTTTTCCTGGTTTTTTGGGAATGCACAAGGTTCTGTTGTGTCTTTCTCTGGTCTCACTGTCATTCCACCCCGGCAGTACTCCCAGGCACATCCCTCTCTGAGCAGGAATGGGGGGAAGCTCGTGGCAAACGCCACCCAGAAGCCAAATTTTGGCTGCAGCGTGCTCGGGCCTCGCTTCGTTCATCGATGTGTGTCGTGTAACACGTCTTGCAGGTGGGTTTTTCCAACAAAAAAGGCATCCCCCAGTTTCCATCTCCACCAGGAGAACTTCCCTGGCTGTTTTCCAGCCAGGCTGCAGCACATTTGCCACTGCTGCTGTCTCTCCTCTGTCACACTGGTGCTCTTCACCTCAGAAATATCGGGGAACACTGAGGCACAGACCAACATGAGGGGACACCAGAAGCTGTTATTTAGCTTCCAGGATAATTTCAATTGTTTTCTTCGTGGTATTTTCAGCTGGGCCTGAGTCCACCACCAATGGGATTAAAGGTCCATAAAAATGTAGCCAGTCAGCAAAAAAAAAAAAAAAAAAAAAAAAAAAAAAAAAAAAAAAAATCAGCAAAAAAAAAAAAAATAAAAAAAAACCAGAAAAAGACAAAATACCTGATGATACTGGTTGCTATGCAAGGTCTCCAGGGGCAAGAGCTGTTAATTGTGGAAGGCTCTGGCCTGAGGGGCCTTTTTCTGAGGGCTTAAGTTCTTAAAATGCTCCTTTGAGTAAGGTTTCTGTGTGGGAAGGGCTGGTTCTCCTCACACATCCTGCCTGTGCTGTTCTCCTGACCTTGGAACGGCAGGAGGCTGCTGGAGACAGCCCTTCCCAAAAAGGGATGAGGATGGAGGGGAAAGGGGCTGGGCTTCTCTCTTTCTCTTCGGAATGCTGGATGTCTGTAAGCTGACAGGATCCCTGGGGATTGCTGGTGCTCTGGAAAGCTGGGAGATGCAGGACCATGACATGAAAAAGATTTACTCTTTGTAGTGTGCCATGGGCTATCTGTATTTATTGAACTCCTCCTCCACAAGACCACTCCACATGCACTTAGGGGATGAGGGAGGATCCAATTTGTTCCATCAAATGCCAACTGAGGTTGGCCTGAGGAAGGTTTGGAGGAGCCTGGGTTGGGAGTCCCTGCACAGGAGCAGCCTGGCAGTGAGGAGCTGCCATCTCTCCTCCCATCACCAGTTTTTCCCAAAGAACTGGTTTGGGAAAAAGGCACTGGGAAGTTCTCCTGAAGATGTGCTGCTTCCAGCCAGGCCAACCCCAAAGGTGGCTCCAGGATCCTCTGCCTGAACATACTCTTCCATCACCAAGAAGGAGAGGTCACCACCTCTGATACAGACAGAGCAATAAACATTTTATAATGTACAATAAAAGAGTAAAGGCATCTCTTGTGTCCTTGTAATGCCTGAATTTAATTCTTTCATATTTACCTGCTTTGAGCAGCACACACACCCTACAACTGGGGGACTTTGTATTTCCCAGACCTCAAACCTAAACAGATCTACAAAATCAAATATTTTCTCAGTGTCTGGCTGGAGAAACCCAGGGAGGTTCAGAGCTGGTTCTGGCTGCAGAACAAAAAAAAAAAAAGAAAAACTTGCACCATAAATAGCATCCCAACCCTACCTAACAAAATTCTTCAGCCATGTCTGTTATCTCCCAAGGAAGAAATAGCATTTGGAATCCACAGCCCTGCAAAGGGAGATTTAGGACAGATGGTACAGCATGTGCAAAATGATAAGGGAGATGCTCTCTCCTAATCCTGAGGAAATCCAGCCTGGTAATTTGGCAGGTTTGGGGGTTGTGTGGCTGTTTTTAAAGCCACTTGTCCCTGGGAATTCAGACCATATCCCTTTTTTTTTTTTTTCCCACAGTTGTTCCCTAGGGACAGGTTTAAGCTATTTCTTTCCTGACAGAGCTGTGATCACTCATTGGCAGAACAGAATTAAATTTAAAGTGTCAGTGTGGGGCAGAGTTCAATATTCACATGTGGCAGGAGGTGCCAGGGTTATTTTGATAACCTGCATTTGATAACCCATAAGTGCAGGCTTGGAGAGTAAGGAAATGTTATTTGTGAGGAGAAACAACTGTGGGCTGGCAGAATTCAGCTCAGACAGGGACTGCAAACCCAGTTCAAGTGATTCCCTTCAAGGAAATTTTTCAGCCACTCTGAATTGAAGTGGTGGAGTAAATCCACACTTTAGGAAAAGGTTATAGGAAAATAAAGTTACTTGAAACGCTGCTGTTCTGAGGGTCATAAACATCAAAGCTTTAACTGCTGTCTGGGCATTAAATTCCACTGTAACCCATGAGAGTCAGCCACTGTGTGAGCTCAACCCTAAACCCATCTTTAGAACAGAGACCTCACTCCCATCAGCAGCTGCCAAAAGATACTCCCGAGGTGTTTTACAGTCAATAAAGGCAGGAGAACAAGCAAAAATAAACCCAAGACACACTGAGGGAAGTCATGCTGGGCCACAGCACCACACACCCTCCAGCCCACCCACGTCCCCCTACGTGGTTTTGCCCTGGCTGCTGATTTTGACTCATTGTTGGAAGAGGGAGCTGCCAAAGGGAGGTTTCAAGAAATACTAAAAAGCAGCAAGTGGGAGTGGGCTGCTGTGCCAGGGATCCCAGAGAGGCTGATTCCCCGCTGATCTCTGAAAGCAAAGCCCTCCCAGCTGGCTCGGGATGAATCCCATGGATTTCCAAGAACCAAGCGAGCAGAGATTTGGGGCACAATAGGAGCAGGGAGCTGCAAACAAAAACCCCTTTGCCAGCACACCCAGGGCGTGTTTGGAGTTAAGCACCGCTCTCCTCCCTCCTTCCCAGCACTGTAATATTATGCCTACAAGTACAATTTAACCAATAGATTCCTCCCCCACGAGTTTAGCAAAGAAGAGCCGCGGGAGGAAGTGTGGAGCAAACAATCCTGCACAGCGTGTCCTTCCAACTCACAACACAGCCCCAGCCACTTGTCACCCCCTCCCCCGGGCCACCAGGCACCGGCACAGGCTCCTGCTCCCAGGAAAACGGCATTTGGAGTCGCTGGCGCTTGGAGAGAAACCGAGGAGGAAACACCTACACGGAGGAAAAGTGTTAGCACAATCTCAGCTGGGTGATGGAGATGCCAAAGGGAGAGGAGCAGGCTGCCGATGGCGGCGTTTGCCAAAGATGGGAGAGGTGACATCGCTCCAAAGCCAATGTCACAGCTGCACATTCATTTCCCCCAGCAAAACAACACGGCAACCTCGGCGAGGCCCGAGCTTCCCGAGGAGAGAGCTGAAGATGACACCATATGTTCCACCAAATGTAATTTCCCCCAGATTTGCAGCCAAAAAAAAAAAAAAAAAAAAAATTAAAAAAAATCTTCCTAACGACTGTAATGAGCTATTACAGCCTCGTCTGGAAGCAGAGCTGACCAAATGCAATCAGCATTTCCAGCCTTTGTTAAAAAGCTGCCCGATCAACGGGCTTGTTATGCTAAAATATCTTCTGTTTGCTCCACAAATCTGGCGTCTATTGAATTGTCTGCTGACCTCAGGCGTTCAAATGATGCTGTTCCCCCTTGGTGGGGCTGCAGCCCACACGTCTGGGGGGAAAAAAAAGAGTTGGTTTCTCCTTCAGCCTCAATTTTGGTTAAGTAAGTTCCAAAATGAAGAATCTTCATTATTAATGACAGAGCCGGGGAAGGCACAGCTTGGATTTCAGCTTCCCAGATGGAGGCAGCAAAGCTAGCAGCCAGAAAAATCCTCTTTTTCCTTGGAATCTGGACACGCTGGATGCAGAGCCATTGAGAGGCAATAATGACAGAGCCCCACGATGCCATTTGTCACTTTGCAGCTTCCTTGTCCTTTTGAACTCACAAACCCCTCACCTTTAATGCCACCAACTGCCAAATAAAATCTATTTATACCATCCAGACCTGCTCTGCACCTAAACCAAAGGGAGAATTTTATCAGCTTCCACTATTTCCCAGTTGTGGATGTAATTTCTTCCTCCTAACAGGCAAGAGCTGGTTCATTTTTGAGGGGAAGGCAGCAAAAAAAAAAAAACAACCCACACACAGTGGTTTCATTTCAGTCTCATTGTTTTCCAGCTGCTGTTGGCTGGCTGCAATGCATTGATGAACACTGTTAAATTTTTAATTGCGAGGCATTTCATCAGAGCTCACGCAGGGCTCGCACAAAGCCAGTTTTATTCTGGTTTTTTATTGATATCACTAGGTTCTACGACAGCAAAAATCATCAGCAGGGCCCCTTGGCGACTCTCTAACACACAGCAAAACATTCTGTCCTTCCACGGAGGTTTAATCCACAACCCCTCCCTCCTCTCCCCACCGTGCAGATGTGAATCCCTTGCAGTGTCAAATTTGCAGCCCTAAATCCTTGCCAAAAAGCAAGGCAGAGCTTTACACTCCTAAAGAACACAAACCCGAGGGGATGGAGCACCCCTGGAGACACCAACAGCACCTCCCTGGCATCATCAGGAGCTGCTTGCTGAGAATTTCCATCCCTGGGAGTGTCCAAGAAGCAAATTGGGATGGAGGGAGATGTCCCTGCCCTGACTGAGATGATCTCTGTGTTCCTTTCAGCCCAAACCACCCTGGGATTCCATGGACACCAAGTGAAATTCTCCCCAGACCACAAGTAAAGGATTTCTTTCCCTAAGAACTTAATTTGTGGGGTTCACTGCTTTAAAAGCCATGAACCACCCCGTGCTGACAGCTCTCACATGCCTCCAAAGGATTTCTCCTTCTCCCTCAATGCAAAGCTCTCTGTAAATAAAATTTACAGAGGTTCTGGTGGCATCAAGGACCTGACCCATCACAAAACCCTGACACTGGCCATGCCCCAGCCCCAAAAGTGCTCTCCATGGGTTCCTTCCTGCCTGGATTCTGTGATAGCTGGGAGTTTGTGCAGTCAGGCTCTGCTCCAAGCTTCACTGCTGATCCTTTGGACAAATGGCTTCCATTCTCCCTGTCTCAGTCACTGCACATTCAGGGCAGGGAGAAACTTTGCCTGGTTTTCAAAAGCCTGTCCCACTCTGGGTGAATAAAATCTACGAACCACAACGTTAAAAAACTTCGGTACTGAGCCAAACTTTTGATTTCTTTAAGATCACATGAGCCGAAAGCATCTCCAAAAATAGTCAGATTGCGATGATAAAAATATGAGATGATTTGCTGCCTGAATAAACTTAATTTGCTCTCCAAAATTCCACTTATAAATACCTAAAGGAGTCACAAGGCCCTGCTGGCACCCCTGGGAAGAACATTGAGAAGATCAACCTATCCACCTCCAACTCATTTGGAGTTGCTCAGTAGCACAGAAAAGAAGAAAATGACATCTAAAAGCTGCAAAATATTTATAAACTCTAGTGCAAATCTCATGAAATGCTTTTGCAAGAGAAGTTACAAATAAAACTTCAAACCACTGAAAACCAGTCCAATTAACACCTCTAAAAGCAGAACAAGAACCAGAACAGCCCCTCAGCAGCAAAATCCAATGGGCTT